TAAGTTAGAAAAAAAGCCACCTAAATAAAAGGGAATAAATATTAATCTTTCAAGGACAACTTCTATTTGGGTGTTATTCTTCTATAAAAGCTGTTCTAGACCCTTGTAAGAAATTAGTTATTTTTCTACTTTAGCCAATATAGCATTCATGAACCGTACATGAAAGGAAAAAAAAATCAATACAGCAATATTACTATTTATGTCATTTGTATCTATACAGAAGTAGGAAAGAAAGACTTCACCTTCCTGATACATTTTTTCTTAGTGGAACTGAAGTTTTAATGCAGTGTTTATAACAACATTGTTGCTGTGGAGACAGTTGATTCAGTATTATGAACTCACTGTTGTATCAAGTTAAGGTGTGGAAGAGAAAAGTCTTATTCAAACAGTGGCAAGAACTATAAAATGTAAAAATAGCAAAGTGACGACTGATGTTTAAGCATAAAACCGTATGTTTCAACAGGAAGATATTTCCTTTCTTCAGATGCCAAAGAAATAGACTCTTCATTCCAATTTAGTCATATTTTGGGAACATTATCAACTCAGCTATTCCAATCCCCCAACACTTTCAGTGATGCCTCAAATTGTTACCCACTTCCTTCTCCTTGCATTATATATTATTAACATGATAATGTTTAAAATATTATGTTATAAATCAGACCTTACAAAAAAACATGGAAAAACCTGCTAAAGTTAACCAAAGGGAACACAGTATTTTGAATAACTTCCCATAATGATTAACTCTATTAAATATGATAATGCTTATTACTCTACTCTGATCTACACTTGAATGCTATGTTTAATTCATTTAGCTCAAGATTTCTTATAAGCTATTAAAGTATAAAAGTTGATGTTGATTACAATACATTGCATTACAGACACATCTAGTCCTTTTCCTGGGCTTGTTTGAACTGTGTGGGCCATTTTAATTATTATGCTTGATAAACCATAAAATAACTTACCTTGGATGTCTTAAATTTTTTTATACCTTAAATTTAATATATTGTGATTCCCTCTCCATTGTTTTCTCTTTCTTATATCTCAAAAACTTTTTCTTACAAATGACTTTGCTTTTTCTCTGTGGTTCTTTCAACTTTTCAGAAGATGGTACAGATTTCTCTCTGAAATGTTTGCCAATTATCATTTTCACCTAATTTAAGTAACATTGATCAAGTTTTCTTAACAAAGTATACATGAGGTGAGAAAATTGTTTTCAAAAGAACAGAAATAGAATTGTCTAAATAAAAATGAAAAAAAAATTAAACTTTGGAGAGAACCAAATTTTCCTTACTTTAGGGTGACTTGAGATTACTTGTTACTATGAATCTACATTGCTAAATAAGTTGTTCTCTTTATGGATGACTCTGTAAAGTAGATAAATTTATACAAAACTGATAGTATACAATCTAAAAGCAACCTTGTGAAAAAGGGAGGGTCACAGAAAATAACATATATGAGTCTCTGATTTTCAACTAGGTGAGTCACAGGAAATGTTCATACCACAGGGTAAAATCTGGAGGCCCAGTTAGCCCATCCCTTTCAGAAAAAATATAGGTCAAAGCTCCACTAACTTCTGTTTTATGAATCAGGAGTTGTAAACTTGACATGAAAATCCTGCCTGTACTATAATAGCATCTCTCACCAAACGGGAGGTGGAAATGAGGGACATTTTTAACACAGAGTCCTAAGAAGGCCAGGCAGACTTAGTTATACAGCCTTCTTCTTTGGCCCGTAAGCCAGGTCTACTGGTGAATCCTGTTGTCAGTTTTTTCCTGGTAAGCAATTGTTCTCTATCAGTTTTTCTCAGTCATCACCTCCTCTTTAATCAGTCTTACTTTAAGGATCACCAATTTAGACCTGGAATGTACCTCAGAGGTTACCTAGCCCAATGCATTTTATTTATTTATTTTTAAAAGAATCAATCAACTGACAAGGAAGGAAACAAATTAAGTTATGTGATAGATACTGGTCTAAGAGATTTACAATATCATATTTGATGCACACAACTACCATGGGAGGAAGGTGCTATCCTCATTTTACAGTTAAAGAAACGGAGGCAGACAAAAGTTAAATAATTCATTCAGGGTTACACTGCTAGTTAAGTGCCTGGGAATGGATTTGAACTCAGGTCTTCCTGACTCCAGGACCAGCACTATATTTCCTAATTAACAAGCATTTATTAAGTAATAAAAATAATAATAGTTGATATTCATATAGATCTTATTATGAACCAGATACTGTGCTAAGCACTTTACAATTATTTTCTCATTTGATCCTTATGATAATCCTGGAAGGCAGATGCTATTATTATCCCCATTTTTACAATAGGGATAAAAATCTGTAAAGATGAAGAAACTGAAGCAAAAAGGTTAAGTGACTTGCCCAGGGTCGTATAGCTAGGAAGTACCTGAGGCTGGATTTGAACTTAGGTCTTTCTTACTCTAGGCCTGGTACTCTATCCACTGAACTGTAAGTACTTGCTATGTGCCAAGCACTCTTCTAGCACTTACAAAGAAAAAGCAAAAATAGGAGCTTGAGTTCCAATGGGGTAGCCAATGAGTACATACAAAAGATTAAAAAAAAAAGATAAATACAGAGTAGATGAATTTAGAGGAAGCTTGGAAGTCATTTAGTCCAGAGATGTTGAACTCCTGGCCTGTAAAACTCCCTAGGGCCTCCTGAACCAGATGAAAACGGAAATGGGAAATGTTTAACAAAATAAATAAAAATGTAACACAGATAATGTTAATTTGTGGTTTTCTAAGTCAATGTGCCAACAGAGATCTGTTTCTACTTCAGTTTGACACCACTGATCTGGTCCACATATCTCTATTTCTCTCTGTCTCTGGCTTTGTCTCTCTCTTTTACAGACTGGTCTTCTCACTTTACCCAGGCTGGAAGAGTAACAACCACTCGTGGGCTCAAACCCACTCTTGATTGATACAGTAAGCTCTAGTGTCTCCCCACCCCTGGGGGCTCACCATCTTGATGCCAGCCCTAATGGCGACACCTGAATGGTTTAGCCTACTACAACTCAGAACTTCTGAGCTCAATCTATCCTATTAGCCTTAGCCTCTCTTAGTAACAGGGATTACAGGTGTGCATCACAGTACCTGGCACAGCCTCATTTTAAAAATAAGAAAATAGAGGCCCAGAGAAGTTAAGTAGCCCAAGGTCATATGGACAGCAAACAAGTCCATCATTTTACAGATGAAGAAAGTAAGGCCTGGAATGATGAACTCATTTGCCCAATGGGTAATTAGTGAGAGAGCCAGGATTTGAACTTAGGACCACTGACTACCAATTCTAGGGCCAGGGCTTCCTGGCTTCCCTAAGCAGTCATTCTGTTATGCCCAGGGCATCCTCTCCAGCTACCTGCATCTCCACCAGGGACCACCCCATTCCCTTCCAGCTATACTTACTTGCCTGCTACCCGGGAACAACTCCAACCCCAAGCTGAACCTTTTTGGACAATGATAACCTATTTAAGGGCAGCTAGTTGGTGCAGTGGATACAGTGCCCGGTCTAGAGTCAAGAAGACCTGAGTTCAAATCCGACTTTAGATACTTACTAGCTGTGTGACGCTGGGCAAGTCACTTAACCTTATTTGCTTTAGTTCCTCATCTGTAAAATGAGCTGGAGAAGGAAATGGCAAACCAGTCCAGTATCTCTGCCAAGAAAACCCCAAATGGGGTTATGAAGAGTCAGACATGACTGAAACAAATGACTAAAAAACAACCTATTTAAACTCATTCCTCGATGATTAACATATTTCCACTCTATATCACTCTCTCCCTATCCCAGTGATTCTGAAATCCCTGCTCCCTGGTTTAGAACTCTGTTCTCAGTCCCCACTGACTACTCCCTTATTCCCTTCAGTCTCAACACAACCCCATTAATGTCCTATTCTTAAGCTACTCAGCCCTTTTCACTGTGCTCTCTGGAATTCCTACTCCATAGGTAACAAACTAGTTTTCATCTTAAACCTTTGCTTTTTATCTTCTGTACTTACTAACACAGATTCTGTAGCCACCCTTTCCAACATTTGTGGTCATCATGGAGGAGTTGGAATACTCCTTGTTCTCCAATGTCACTCCCAAGCTCTCCCACTACTATGATCACCCAGTAACCCCTCCTCCTTTGAGGTTCATTCAATCCATATTATCACCCAGTTAAAATTCTGGTAGTTGTTTACCGACATAATCTACTGCCTCAAGTCTTTTCCTCACTCCAGTCCATCCTCCACTCAGCCGTCAAATTGATCTTTCTAGAGTGCAAGCTTGACCATATCATCTACTCTTTTTAATCAACTCCAGTGGCTCCCTTTTGCCTCTAGAAACAAATATAAAATCCACTGTTTGTCTTTTAAGAACCTTCATAATCTGGTTCCTTTTTACCTTCCTTTTCTTCTTAGACTTTATTTACCCCCACGTAGTGTGATCCAGTGATACTGTCTTCTTTGCTGCTTCTCATGAAAGACACCATCTCCCAACTCTAGGCATTTTCATTGGCTATCTCCTCCCTCATCTCTGCCTCCTGGCTTTCTTCAATTTTTGTCTAAAATCTCTACCTTCTAGAGAAGCCTTTCCTCATCCCCCTTAGTGTCAGTGTCTTCCCTTGTTTAGTATTGCTTTTTCTTACTGATTATTACCAGTTTATCCCATATATGTTGTTTGTACATAGTTGTTTATATGTTGTCTCTCCATTTCTGTCTTTCTTTGAATTCTCCATGTCTTTGAACAGTGCTGGGCATATAGTAGGTGCTTAATAAATGCTTATTGACTTGACTTTTTACACTGTACCACGCTGCCTCTCAAAATGAACTTGTTACTTTCCCAAGTGGGCTAAAAGAAGATGAGATGTCATTATTGCTCTCCTTTTTGGCAACGCTGCCACACATTTCATTTGGGGGAGTTAGAAACCAAAAGGGGGGATTAAAGGAAGAAAATACCTGAGGACCCCTGCTATGTATGTAGTTGATGATATGTTGTTTAACTTACCCAACTCAGTGGAGACAGGAGAACCAGTAGCTATTTCTCCAATCTTTGCTACACCATCATAGTAGGCTCTTCCTGCCACTATCATAGCTAGAAAGGGAAGAAAAACATATTCAAAATAATTAATAGACAGATAGAAAAAACCAACAATGCAGATTTTCCCTTAAAAACATATATCCTCTTCTTTTAGCTCCGAATAAATCAATCATAGTTCACTTGACAGGCAGTCTCTGACTTCCCAGTATCTGACTTAGGCACCATCCACATGTGTGAACTCCTAGACCTCTGTGGAGGAGAACTCCAATAGGAGTGAAGCAAGTGGCTTTAGAGATCCCTGGAGCTGTTGCTATTAAAACCTTTCAGGTTTTTTAGTCACAGAAAAAGTCTACTGTAAGGAACTGGTTAGTATAGAGTTATAGTTCAGTTATTTTATGGATCAAAATAAGCTTTTGTGGGTAAGAGGGGGAAAGTGAGCCATTACTGGCTCACCACTAGTGAGTCACTGCTTCTATGAGGAATAGATTCCAATTTCCAAACAATTAGTCCATAAATCAACTTTGCGGCAGCTGCCTGTGCCTTTAGAGTAGTCTTGCTTCCAAATCAGTGGATAAACCATACTCAATTGCCACATGAAAAACCTAAGAAAGCATTGAAAGAGTTAATCATTCCAAAAAAAAAGAGGCCTTAAAAATCAAACATCTTCTGTTCAGAAAGTGAAGACAATATTGATTATTTCTTCAAAATAAAATTGTCACTATTCTCATTCCAAAGTTTTGAGTCTAGATATTTATTTTTAGAGATCTAATTCTGAGGGGTGGAAATTGAAGGGTTTTACATAGACAGGCTTTTATTTGAATTTTCTTTCCTTGAAAATAAGGTTCACTAGGGGCAGCTAGGTGGCGCAGGGGATAGAGCTCTGGCCTTGAAGTCAGGAGGACCTGAGTTCAAATCCGACCTCAGACACTTGACACTTACTAGCTATGTGACCCTGGACAAGTCATTTAACCCCAGTGCCTAGCCAAAAAAAAAAATAAGGTTCACTTTAAGGACTTTAAGAGTGAATTACAGGTATTTTTTTCTCCTGGGTTGCTTGTTTGCATATGGTGACACAAGTTTACATTTTACTGCATTTATATTTTTGGTGTATATGCACCCCCAAATTTAAAAAAAATTGAAATAAGTTTATATTGAAGCTTTGAGGATAAATTTAAACTGGATGTTATTGGAGACATTTAGACATTAATAATAGGCACAGTAAGAACTTTGTATAGGGGTAACAATGAAGAAATTTTTCATTATATAAATATTTTAGCATTATTTGTTTTATATGTGATAGAAAATAGACTAATATGTGATTTTAACCCTATCCAAAGGGGTTATATTAACTCTTGAAGGTTATTACAAACACGATATATCTTTGACAAATTCAATGCTCTCAAAACAGTGCTATACAATTGATAGCCCTCTGGTAATAACTTTACAATGTAATTATAAGAACAATAACATAATGCTTTGGCCTTATTAACTAATTTACCCATCAGTCTTCAGATGTCAATAATATCAGTCATATTTTACTAATAGGCAAGGAGTTAGGAGAGAAGTGGTGGATGGAAAGTTGACCTTGGAGTGAGGAAGACCTGGGTTTGAGTACTGCTTCTAATGTATACTGGCCCTGGGCAAATCACTTAACCTCTCCAAGCCCTTAGGCAACCCTCTAAGACTATGCAGTTGCAAAACATTTGACTGACAGAGTTCCCTCCCTGGGGGGGTTCCTTATGGCATGGGAATCCCACATCTACAATAAGAAAGGAGGCAGATAGTTTTAAGTGCCCAAGGTCATATGGTGGGTAAATGGGGCAGAACAATCAGAGTAAGTAACTCATTCATCACTTAAGGCTACTTCCAGCTTTAAAATGTTATGACAATTTTGATTCTTGGGCTTGTAAACATTAAAAAATTCCTTTTGGGAACATATACATATAAGCAGGAGTGTGCTAGAACCAACTTGATCTGGCTTAAGAGCCAATTGTTAAGTTTTCAATGCAAGCATTTATGTCTCAGAAATTGGCAAATACTGCAAATTGGGGTTTGATTTATTGTTTTGATGATTGTCTAGACTTAAGAAAATGATGGAGAAAATGTTAATAATTCAGAAGAAATTTAAAAGTGCATACATTTTTCTGGAAAGCTAGTTGTTAAACATTTACCAGTATACTCCCTGCTTATAAGTGTGTATGTATATATGTATATATCTATATCACATAGATATAGATATGTATGTATGTATATATCTATATCTATATATATACATTTTAAGTACATACTCTACACACATATAGTCTTTGCGTTTATTAAACTGTCAAGATAAAGTAATATTTTACTGTGAGGATTAAATATTGATAACTACCAATTAGCTAAAAGGCAATCTGTGGGATAAAATATCATATTGAAGGTAAATTACACAAACTATACTATAGCAGGTATTTTATATCTATAGTTGTTGTTCTGTTGTGTTTGACTCTGTGACCCCATTTGGGGTTTTCTTGGCAAAGATACTTGAGTGGTTTGCCATTTCCTTCTCCAGCTCATTTTACAGACTAGGAAACTGAGGCAAACAGGGTTAAGTGACTTGCCCAGGATCACACAGCTAATAAATGTCTGAGGCTGAATTTCAGTTCAGGAAGATGAGTTTTTCTGACTACAGACCTGGCGCTCTAGCCACCCATCACCTAGCAGCCCTTTTATATCTATATTCTTTAGTTATAAAAATTGGGTCCCTTGAACATTATTATTGATTCATTTACTCTCATTACATAAATTCCATTGAAAAATTTCATTAACTATTCATTTTACCTTTATTTTATTTTAAAAATATTTTATTTTTTCCCCAATTACATGTTAAAATAATTTTTAACATTAAAAAAAAGTTTTGAGTTCTAAATTCTATCCCTTCCTCCCTCCCTTCCCTCCCTGAGATGGTAAACAATTTGCTATAGGTTATACATGTGCAATCCTTTTACCTTTATTTTAAAACACTGACATTTTGTTTTTTATATTACTTTCAATTCCAAATTCCAGATTCTTGTCTCCTACCCAGGAAGTCCCCCCTTCAAGCAAACAAGTATTTGCTGATTTTTTACTCTGGGTGAAGCACCTACTAAGTGCTAGGCATACAAAGACAAAAATGAATAGCCCTTGTCCTCAAGGCTTGTACTCTAATGGAGGAGACAATGTGTGCATATCCAAGTGTATACCGAACACATGCAAAATGAATACAAGGCAGTTTTGGGAGTAGGTGTAGTAGCAGCTGGGGGTGGTGGTGCTAGAAATGCTTCACAAAGAAGGTGGTGCTACTGCTGAGCCTAGAGGGAAACCAGGGATCCCAAAAGGCAGATGAGGAGGGAGTGGATTCTAGGCAGGGAGTGGTGTGTAAGTGTGTAGGTCAGTGTGGATGTATTGCAAAGTGCAAAGACAGGAGTAAAATGGAAGAAAACTGGAAATATAGATAGGGGCCAAGTTGTGGAAAGATTTAAATATCAAATAGAGAAATTTATAGATGATCTTCCAGGCAATAGACAGACACTGGAGTTTGCTGGGTGGGGAGTTGGGTGGGGGGAGGAGTGACATGATCAGACTTGTACTTTAGGAAAATCCCTTTGGCAGCTGTGTGGAAGATGGATGGGAATGGAGAGAGACTTGAGGCTGGGAGATTCAGTAGTAAGCTATTGTAGTCATCTGACTGAGGTGTGATGAAGATCTATACTAGGGTGGTGGTTCTGAGTAGAGACAGAACATATTCAAGAGATGTTGTTGGGGCAGCTGGTGGCACAATGGATAGTAAGCAGGGCTTGGAGTCAGGAAGACTTATTTTTCTGGGTTCAAATCCAATCTCAGATACTAGCTGTGTGACCCTGGGCAAGTCACTTAACCTTGTTTGCTCCCCTGTAAAATGAGCTAGAGAAGGAAATGGCAAACTATTCCAGTATCTTCACCAAGAAAAACCCAAATAGAGTCACAAAGAGTTGGACATGACTAAAATGACTAGCAACAAGCAAATGACTGGACATGTGGAGTGCGATTGAGGAGTTAAGGATGACATGGAGGTTGTGAACCTGCGTGACTGGAAGGATGGTGTGGTACAGTAATAAGGAAGTTTAGAAGAAGGGTGGTTTTGAGGGAAGTATAATTAGTTCTATTTTTAGAGATGCTATATGTGAGATGGGCAGCCAGGTGGTACGGTGGATAGAGTGCCAGCCCTGGAGTCAGGAAGACCCATTCAGTCGCAGACATATACCAGCTGTGTGACCCTGGGCAAGTCTCAATCCTATTTGCCTCAGTTTCCTCATCTGTAAAATGATCTGGAGAAGGCAATGGCAAACTACTCCAGTATCTTTTCCAAGAAAACCCCAAATAGGGTCACGAAGAATTGGAAATGACTCAACAACAACAACAACAACAACAACAACATGTGTGAGATACCTTCAGGTACATCTGGTTTGAAATATTTAATAGGCAATTGGTAATGTATGACTGGAGCTCAGAAGAGAGACTCCATACATAGATTTGGGAGTAATCTGCAAAGGGACAATAACTGAACTCATGACATCTGATGAGGTTACCAGGTGAGATACTATACAGAGGATAGAATCCAGGATATAGCCTTAGGCTAGACCTGGAGTCAGTGGGAGTAACATGATGATGACGAATCAGTAAAGGAAACTGAAAAGTGGTTGGATAGGTAGGAGAATCAGGAGAGAGTAAGGTCTCAGATAGGAGAAAATATCCAGGAAGAAAGTGGTCAAATGCAGTATCAAGGTCAAGGAGGATTAGGACTGAGAAGGGACCATTAGATTTGGTGATAATCAGATCATGGATATCTCCAGAGGCAGCAGTTTCAGTTGAGTGATAAGACTGGAAAGCAGACTTTTGGAGGTAAAGAGAGTAAGGAAAGGAAGAGGAGGGAATGAGTAGAGATTTTTTTTTTTCAAGGCATTTGGCTGAGGGAGGGAAGAAAGGTAGGATGATAGCATGGTAGTATCTAGTGAGGGTTTTTGAGGATGGAGACTCGGATGTGAGATGAAGAGAAAGGA